AATAATTTTGAAAAAGATTTCTACAAACTTATGAACAATGCTATTTTTGATAATTTATTATTATTATTATTAAAACTTGTATGTAATTATATTAATATAATTTTCTAGGTAAGACAATGGAATCGATGAGCTGGAGAATAGATGTCCAACTTGTATCGAGTGAAAAGAGAGCATAAAAATTGAAAAATAAAACAATATTTAAACACTGTACAACATATAGTGAAAATCTGTGTGCTGTATCGCTGGAGAACAAAATTATTCATTTTTGTAATCTGATATATATATTGTACTAGAATCTAGTACAATATATATATCATCTGTTTTTCGCGATAAACTGACAGACTCAAACTCTTTAATTTTTTCTGGACATACAATTTTACTTATACTCACCATACAATCTTTTACAAATTCTCCTTCCGAGTAAGGTTTGTTATTTTTAGCTATTTTATAAGCCACAACATATTCAGCCAGTGTAGAAGCCTTCTGAGCAGTATTTTGCTTTATAAACACATTCCGTTGAGTAGATATTGTGTTTTTTAGATTTTCCGCATTTACCTTTTTTTCTGCGTTATTCATCAAAGCATATTTGGTTTTTGAATGTTTGGTGTTGAAATGACGAGCAATGTTAAAATCCTTAAATACCGCCACTGCTTCATTACAAATAAGACATACTGGCTTACAGTTGTATTCCGTAAAAAAAGTATTTTCAAGCCCACTCTTCTTTAAACAGACGACATTGAGAATCGACTTTTCGTTTTTTATACACCATTATCCCAAAAGCACAGATTTTCTTTTAAACGATTATGAATATAAAGCGTTACACAAACAATAAAAAATATAAAAATAGAAATTATATACCCATTATCATAATACCTACTATCTACTTACACCACGCTGTGAGGGTACGACCGGGTTACCGTGAGAGTAATTATGACGGGCCATATACTCTCCATGTCGATGGACCCTCGACGGGCCGGATTAAATACTTTTGCGGGCTGTACTTTGCCCACCACTGTACTAGATATTTCAAAAACTAAAATGTATGATTACCACTACAACGTTATGAGGAAGCATTTTAAAGACACCATCAATTTGATGTATACAGGTAAATTATTATTATTTTTATATGTATGATTTTATATTTTTTTCTTTTGTTCTAGACTCGTTGGTGTATCACGACTAAAGATTTGACTTGGACCTGCTGAGTAAACCTGGACTTTTGGAATGCACGGACACGACAAACCTTCCAAATGTCCACTCATGCTACGTTGCAGAGAGGAAAAAGATACTCGGCTTGTTTTCGGACGAAACATATGGAAAGACAATAACAGAGTTTTGTACCTTCCGTGTCAATATTATATAAGATTGACAGTAAAGAAAAGATCAAGGCGAAAGGTATCCGAGGTCATGTGGTCAAAAACCATATGACGTTCGAAGACTATAGGCGGTGTTTGTTCGATGATAACGATTTGGATGTGTATAGGAAGAATGTTTCCATTCGGTTCCACCACCAGCTCATAACAATTATTACGAACAAGCTTACCAACAACAACTACGAGGATAAGAGAGTAATATTAGAAGGCAAAATTCATACAAATATTATGCCGTTTATTATTTTTTTTTCTCTGTATGAACTACCAGATACCGAGCAGGTGCACTCAATTTTTGTAAAATATAATGTCATCTGTATTTTGTCATACCTGATACCGTTACAATAAAATTAAAGTCGACGGAAACGATTATACATAAAGGTACTCTAATAATTATGTTACCGTTGTGTCGTATGACATATCGATATCATATCGATACGTAATATTAAAAACGGTAAGATAAAATATTATTATCGATACCATGAATATACTGTATTATGTAGTAATACAAAAAATAGAAAAATAAAAAGGGGAAGTAAAAGGTTATGGGGGGAGGATAGTAGTAGACTAAGACACTATATATATAGTAATAGAAGACAAAAATATTACAAACATAATATTATATAATTACGATAACAACATATTACGTAGAAGTATCTACAAATAATAAAATATAGAGGAGTAGGTACAAAAATGTACCTATTTAATATAAAATAATTGATCTAGTTTTTGGTATTACAAAGAATGATTTATCTTTAATCATAATAAAATTTCAGCCTACTAATTATATTACTACCTTCCTTCCGATGTTTAAAAGAGATTCGGAATCGTGAATCCGAGAACGGTGACGAAATCAATAAATAAAAAAAGATATAATTATTTTATCTGCCCACGGTGTTGGAACGCTAGGGTGTATACTTATGGATAACTTCACAATGTTCTTAATGAAAGTAATAGTTCGGATATTGATTCTTCTCGAATGATAAAAAAAACCATTGGAATTTGTGGGTATTAGACATATTATTTTGATATTTCATATTACAATATTTTATAATATTATTTGGCGAGTTGTGTATTATTTTTTCTTTAATACGTTTATGAATTTGTTTAATAGTATTTAAATTGAAATTATTTCTATGGGCTATAATATAGATAATATTGAGCTCGTTTTGATAACTATGTTTATTTAATGGAAGACATTTAAGCCTATAGAATATTGAAGATCTTTCCATCTATGCAAAAGAAACATTTTAAATGACTGATCTGATTTGGCAGGATTTTGCTATATTCTTTCTACTGCTAATATTTTTTTTTTGTATATTCTATCTCTGCTACTTTTTTTATAAGTGGGGCATTCTTTCCATTTTAAAGTGTGACCTTCTTCACGATTTCCGAATTTCGCCTTTTATTTTTTTACACTTGGTGCGGTTTAGCGAAGTGTGTCTTTTGCTTTCACACACTTTGGTTTTTTAAAACAGTAGTTTTGAGTGTAGCCAAAAGTTTAATATGTTTTACATTGTGGCACTTCTTTTTTTTTTCTTGGAGTTTCCGTTTTAATTTTGTGATAACACAAATTTTAAAGATCATAAATATCTTTATTATTTCCTTGTGACTTCAGATCAACGAAGAATAGTGGAAACCTTACAATACTAAAATCACTGCACTTGTTGTTAAGGTCAACTTTTTTTTTAATCTAGATGTTCGTAACATTAGGACAAGATGTCCTTTTTCGGATAATTCATTTTTAATGTCGCAGAGGTCGGTTTCAGGGTGTAATCCACGAACTACCACCCAAAACGTTTTCTCTGTTTTAAGTTAGTATCTGTGGTACTCAACTTTTTGGTCTTGTAATACTTTTATAATTCGTTGAAACTAACGTCCGCTCGTGTCCACTCATGGTGTAGTTGGTGGTATAAACTAACACGCATGTGGGCAAAAAAAGATTCTTATAGGGAAATAATGCAAGTGGGTTTCACTACAAGATAAGCAGTTTACTGGTGTAAAGTAAAAGTAAAGAAAAGAAATGAAATGGTGACTAAGAATAGTCGAAATATTATTGTATTTCTTGTAATCGGTCCGCAGTTTTTGTCGTACACGGCAATGTCTTCGCTATACGCGTGCGCAGAAGGTGTGCAAAGTATGTGGCTGTATACCCTGAAGACTAGACCCGATTAAGTGGAGAGAATAGAGAGCTACGTCCCCGAGGTCCTCAAAAATCATATTATGAGTGAAATCAAATATTTGCAAATAAAAATTATGTTGTAATTCAATTTGAATTTCAAGTAAACACGTTCCCAATGTTTGTTCTTTTTTTCCAGTATTTAATGAACCGTCCAATTCAGCCCTTCTGTTCACCAAATATTAAAGCGGTACATTTGTCTATGATAAATGACCTGTAATTAAATATCAAATATTTGTATTTATTTCTATAACTAATATTATCCATGCAAATTATTAAAAATAATTAAATATGGTTAAGAATAGTAGATACTTAGGTTATTTTAAAGAACTTATGTTGGAAGTTTATTAGTAATTAGAAACATCCTTAGTCTATATATATATTATACTCACTGTCTTCAGAATCAACAGCATTTAAGTTGACGTTTAAAATTAACGTTTAGGTTTGCTGCGCAACTACAATGAATTGATCGACGTTTTCTTCTAAACCTGATAAATTATTAAAATACCTATGTTTTTTTTATATTATATTAATTAACAATAAATTATACACAAGAAGAAGAAGAACTAGTTATTAAAATCTACCAAATAAAAAATAGAAATAAATATAATAATAAAAATGATAAAAATAAATACTATTATTCCCGCCTAAAATTCGAATATTGTAATTAATGTAGAGGTAACTTTATTACAAGTTTTTGTTGTGGGAGAGTGAACGGTATCACCATACTAGCGATATGGTTACGAAATACATGAACATTTACTATCAACAGTGTCCCCGGTTACCGTACACAATTTCTCTAATCGTTATAGGTTACGATTTTATGGGGAAATGTTCACTGGTTACACATTCCGAATTTCTTGTATAAATGTATAAGTTGGTAGTGTTTTATCGGGTGACATTTTGTCGGATTCTGATCCGTGGATTATTACCCCGTGGCCTTATGTCGACTGGTTATTTGTCTGAAGGTTTTTGTCGTGTTTCATAAAAATACCATAAGAAAATATCGATGAATGGCACTTGTTCGAAACACGATAAAAACATTTTTCGGAAACTCGACCGCATATTAACATATTATATTAACAAACAGACTGCATACCATTGACTTCATATTTTTAGTATAAATTCAACGCTGCACACAAAATACACAAAATAACATAATACCCGACGGGATTTATCATAACAAATTTATTTTCGATTAATTTCCTCCATTTCCTTCATCCGCTGCCAAAAAATCCAGACTAAGCAATATTAAAATTAAAGGTAGTAGTATTTAGTATTGTAATATTACAAATTTAAAATGGGTAAATGGGTATAGAAATTACGTTTTTGGTCAGTTATTATTTATCCTTATCATTATTTTTCTTTATCATTTTCTAACGACTGCTTTTTAACCAGAAAATATTATGTAAAAATAAATGATAAGTTTGAGTTATGATAATGTAATGTCTAATCACGGTCTCAGATTATTGTTTTTAATATTGGTTGTACAGTGATAAATATGTTGGTTTAATTTTATTGCTAATACTTAAGCAATAAAATATTATAGTGTTATACATAATAACTGATCTTTGATGGCTATAGCTACTTCTGCCCTTACTCTCGGCTATGCCACTGATTTCCTATTTTATTTATCGTTAGTTATATAACTATGTTGTGACTACTGTTTATATAAAATAGATATATTTATTTTTGCAGATATACTTTCCTACATAATTGTAAAGAAATTTTAATTAAAAAATGAAGTTAACATTGTGTTTATTTACGTTTCTATTATGGAAAAGTTCAACAGTTAATAGTATAAAACAAAAATATGTTGGGTTAGGTGAACCTAATTCACCAACTACTGATTTGATTAATTTCGAAGATAAATGGTTTCAACAGAAACTGGATCATTTTAACCCTACAGAAACTCGAACATGGAAACAGGTATAAAGTATTTTTTGGTATTATAATACAAGTAATCAATAGTCAATAATCATAGTGACAGTAAAAAATTAAACTACAATATGAATTTCGTTTTTTAACTTAGAGATACCAAGTCAATAAGAATCATTATAAAAAAGGTGGACCAGTATTTTTGATGATTGGTGGAGAAGGACCGATTTCCACCAAATGGATGTATAATGGGGCTTGGATTGAATATGCTAATGAATTTCATGCTTTATGTTTCCAATTGGAACATAGATATTATGGAAAAAGCCATCCAACCGAGTAAGAAATAAAAGACTAATAAATAATGTACATATATATTTGTCAAAGCAGTTCTATTTAACAGTCCGAACAAATTAGGTAAATCAGTTTAAAAAATTATGAAAATACTTACCTTTTCACATTTTAAATATATTATAGGTAACTAGATTTATTTTAACTAGGTAACAGGTAAGTTAAATATAGGAATATTCGAGTTAGGTCCCTAAATGTGATATTTTATCACTTTAAATAAACTCAAGTTGGATCTGTGATGTTATTTGATATACTCTAATTGGGTTTATTAAATTATATAAAAATTATATTAATAATATACCTATTTAATATATTGACAACACAGCCGAGTAAAAAAAAAATAACAGCCGAAAGAAAAATATTTTTATGAGAAAAATATTAACCATAAAATAATGTCTAATATTACACATTAAATATATAATGTGAAATTTACGAAGGAAAAAATATTTTAATTAATTTAATAATTTTATATAAGAGTAAACTAACAAGAAATAAAATGTTTGATATACTTTCTAGTCAACCTTCACATGGTGTCTCTTGAGTAACTCTAATAATCTGGATTAAGTTTTCAATATAAATAATAATAAAATAAAATATGCCAGAACACAAATCGAGGTTAACCATAATATTAATATTATAGGATTTCTATTTGAAAATAGAAAGTTGATATTCAGTTTAATAAGGTTTTAGCCTTAATAGGTATTTGGTAAGTTGGTACATATTAGATAAATATGTATTAGGCGAAATCACAAACAATATAAACAGAATTCTTAAAATGTAACCCATATAACTGAAACAATAAAATTAAATATAGTCTTTCAAACCTAATATTATGACATTATAATGTACAGTTGACTCATTAGACTTTATTGGACTCAAACAGACCAGTCCGGATTTGCATGTATACTAACACATAGAAAAATACTAGTTTATTAAACTCACTACACCGGTTAATGGGGTCATTTAACAATATGATAAATGACGAAATTAGAAAAAACATGATATTTGAGGCAAGTTTACAATATCAATATTTTATTATTATTGTAGAGATAACTAAATCATCTTTTCACAATAGCAAAATGGTAATGACCCAAGCAGTTATTGGTTTGTAAAGTTAGTTAATAGTACCTATGCAACTGGCATTATGTTAACTGGCGTTGCTGTGTAAAAATAATTACATTTTGTCTGTTATTTTTTTCATTTTGTCAGCTTAATCTGCTTGTTCTGTAATATGAACGCATGTGAAAAATTAAACTTTTAAACTTGAGACCTTAAAATTAGGCAAACTTAATCTATAAAGTAGTACTCAGCAATATTTGTATAATTATCAAAGACTGAGAAAATTCAATCAATTCTGTTTAGTTTTATATCAAAAATTAAGTAAATGCAATTTTTATTTAAATACGTAATGTAAATAATTAATTACATTATTTTCATTCATTTAATCTCAATACATATTTTAAAATTATTTCAATTTTTGCACATTTGTATTATTTTTTTAGGACCTTTTGCCTGGTCCCAAAGTGAGTAATAATAATATAATGTAATAATAAATTATACCTATATAATAGGTAATGAACTTAAATAAAATTATGACCAAACGTTCCATATTGGATATCCAGATCATTACACATTTGGCCACAATTTCAGAAAGATCTTTAGTTTTTTTGTGTATGTGGTTTAAATTAAATATTCTAATTATATTTTACTTGTATTTATTAGATTTATTATTCTTCATTACTATATGGTTATTGTATTTACTTTTAAAATTTTAAACAAAAAATTATTTATATAAATGTGTCTTTTAGACTGGAAAATTATAGTCACACTAAAAATAAATATAAATTGTATTACAAAAAAATATATATCTAAATTCTGCCACCTAATAATTCATTAATTAGGTATTTCATAAATTCAACATGATTGTACTGAGTAACTATGTTTAATACCTATTGAATAAAAATAATTGTTCATGTTTCAGAGATATGAGTTCTAAAAATTTAGTATACTTGAATAGTGAACAAGCTTTAGCTGATGCAGCAGAATTTATTGTCAACATCCAAAGGAAATACGAAATCCCATTTACAGCTAAGTGGATAGCTTTTGGAGGATCTTACCCAGGTTCTCTAGCAGCTTGGTTAAGAATGAAATATCCCCACCTAATATATGCTGCTGTGTCTTCAAGTGGTCCATTGTTGGCAAAAATAGATTTCCCTGGTATGTTAAACACGTATTAAAAGGTTAGGTTAATTCTCCATAAAATATTCCATTCCATATTAAAAGAATTTCAATAACATGAAATTGAAACTATTATTATTTCGTTATAAATAGGCACATTCCAACATTTACACAATATAACACTCTAAAAATAAAATTAACCTTAAAAATATTTAAATAAAATATATAAGACTTTTGTATACTTAAAAATACATAAATTGTATTCTACTACTAATAATAATATATGTTTATACTTCAATACTACTTCATAAATCAGTAAAATAATAATTATAATTTTTTTTTAATTTCTTAAACCCAGACATATTCCCCATCAATAAGTATTAATGATCCATTTATCTAGTTACTTTCTTTAATACTTTTAAGACTTCAATACTTTACTGTTAGATGTATTCGACATTTAAAAATATAATAGTACTTTTTTACAGAATACTTTCAAGTTGTTGAGAATGCATTATCAACATATAAAACAGAATGCATTTCACAGATAAAGAATGCAAATGAAATAATTGACAGTCTTCTTGAAAGCAATGAAGGATTAAAAATTATAGAACAAAAATTCAAGTAATATTCATATATATGCTCAATAATAAATAATATATATTAAACCTATATTTAAAAGTGTTTAAAAATGTTCAACATGATTCATTGTTTTAGATTATGTGACCCCTTAGACATACATAAACAAAAAGATATATCAAATTTTTTTGAAACTTTAGCTGGAAATTTTGCTGAAATTGTGCAATATAATAAGGACAACAGATTTTATGAAAATCCCGAACGATCTTCAGTAACATTGGAAACTCTGTGTGATATAATGGTTAATAAATCTTTAAAAACTTCAGTAAGTATATAGGGTAAATGTATAGAACTATACCTGTTTACTTGTAGAAGCCTATTATAGTTTTCTCCAAGGTTTAAAATTGTTAGATTTTCATTTCTAACTAATATTTTTAAATAATGAAATAATTCCTTTAATAATAATAATTAATAAGTATAATGCTTAGGTTTTTTTTTCTAGTTAGATAGATATGCCGCTGTGAACAATAAATTATTGTCCCTTAATGGTTTAAATTGTACTGAACATGTTTATTCAAAAATGATTGATTCTTATTCAAATATAACTTGGGATAGCGAAGCAGCAGCTGGTGGTTAGTATAGAAATATTATTATGTATAAGTTATAATTTATAATATTTTATATTTTTGGTTATTATTGTATGTAGGTACCTAATGTTCTTGCTAATTTGTAGTTAATGCATAAGTACTTAATAATTCCAATATTATATAATGTAGGTAAATTATTTTGTTTTACCGTTGTTCATTATTTGTACAAAATAAATTAAAATGTGAGATTCAGTAAAATAGAAAAGTTAAACAAACATAACCTATTCACAAGAAAAAATAAAAAGTTAATTACCTAGAATATGCACATATTATGAACCAAAAAGTATCTGTAACACAGAAATTAAATTATTTTGTGGCCAAAATCCTTAGAATAAAACATTATTATTGTCTAAATGAAAAATATTTACATTTTAAAATGTTCTTTTAGGACGTCAATGGACATATCAAACTTGTACCGAATTTGGATTTTATCAAACTTCCTATAAAGAATCAGTATTTGGCAATCATTTTCCATTAGATTTTTTTATTGACATGTGCACTGATATTTATGGAAAATTGTAAGTTAAAAATATTTTATATTTATGTAAAATGAATATGAAATACAATTAATGAGGTATTTTATAACAGCTACATAGGTGGTACTTTTTAATTTTTATAAAAAAGTAAATCATTTATTAAAATGTTATTTTCGAAGGAAGCTATTGGTTTTACAATGCTGTTTATTTTGTTTTCTTTGTTCTAGTCTGTGGTTAAGTTTTTTCCTAGTAAACTTACTCCGATTTTACTAACTTTTAGCATTTTTTTTTAAAGTTTAAGTTGTCTAGATTGTACTTTAAACAGGTCATTTTTGATTTTCTACACCATTTTTTAAATAAAACCACTTAAGTGGAAAAAAACATAGGAATACTTACAATTTCACGATTTTATAAAAACGCTGGCATTTTCTACCAGAAAAAATGGTTTAATTGAAAAACCACAAGACACCTTTTTGTTGCCTTTTTGATTTACTTTCTTATGGTATCATTGCCAAAACTTTTGAGCCTTTAAGGAATTTTAATTTTTAGGAGTTTTTGCTTTAATTCGGTTATAAATACATGTGGAAACTTGAAACTTGGTAATAATACTTATATTGGACTTACCTAGACATGGTAAAATTTTCTAAATCATCTAACAACCTTTTTTTTTTAAATAAGCGTTTTTAAATCAAATTTAAAGGAACATTTTAAAAATTAGGTATTACCAAACTATGTTTGAAATTGTCTTTTGTCAAACAATGGTTTATCTTTACTTACAGATATAAATGAAATAACCATATGTATCACACCTTCCTAACTTCCCACCCACAACAGTGGCTGCACCTGTCCCCAGTATCAGCTATTTTTAACAATGTATCTATCTTAAAAATATTTTCCTTTAATTGTTTAGTAAATCAGAGTTACTAATTTCATTATTTTTAATTTTTGTATTCATATAGGTCCAATATTTAATACATACTATACTTTTACAAATTGTATTATTATGATTTTTTTTTTTTTTTGTATAGGTATAATTCAGAACTATTGTCTAGAGGTGTATTGAGAACAAATATTATGTATGGTGAATTAAAGATAAAAGAAAGTAGAGTAATATATGTTCAAGGATCTATTGATCCATGGCATGTATTAGGCATTACAAAGACAAATGTAACAAATACCGTTGCTATTTATATTAATGGTAGGTATATCTTTAAAAATGTCTTCAAGATATGTATCTATTTTATATTTAAATGATAAATACAATAAACAAATGTAATAACCACGATTAAAGATGTACTTTTTCTAATCAGTATATCTTTAATAATGGTGACAACTAATTTTTTAACATTAACATGATTTAAAAACTTCATATTTAAATTTTTTTTCAGGTACAGCTCATTGTGCAAATATGTATCCTTCAAACAGTTCTGACCTACCACAGTTAAAAAGAGCTCGCATGGCAATAAGAGCTTTTATAAATGAATGGTTACTTGAAAATGACACTGATGGATTAGTTCAAGGTGATAATATACAATTAAACTGAATTTTAATACTTTGCAGATAATTAATTGTATTTATTGCTTATAATAAAACAAAATTGTGTTTATTACTTACTAATGATGATTACAAAAATATATTTATTTTACTATTTATCATATGGTATATATTTTTAACTGTGCTCTATACTAATTTTTAATGTACCGATCACAATCTATTTGAACCACTGAATATAGGAAATATAGGAAACAGTAGCATGTCCTGCAGCTATAATAACAAGTATTTTATTTCCAAAAATTGTGCCCCTAAATGACACAATATGATGGGATTTATTACATTTTGACTTAGCAACAACACTTATAAACAAAATATAAGAATATTATTACTCCATGACCTTTAAAACAAAAATACCTTAATTTTAAATTCTGAACAGAGAGAGAAATGTATTGGTTTTACAATGTTGTTTATTTATGTTCTGTGAACAAATTTTCTATCAGAAATTTTAATCCGATTTTCAAGTATAGCGCTTTTTCTGAAAGAAATTTGTACTAGAATAGTACTTTAAGAAGGTCATTTTATGATTTTCCCAGGAGTTTTTATAATAAATAAGAATATTTATGAAATGTATTTTTTTTTAATTTTGTTTTTTATTGTGATAACAATATTGGTAGAGATTTGAAATTTATAGAGAAAACTTATATTTTGCTTTTTTTTATGTGGTAAAATGTTTTAAACATTTTAGCCAATTTTAATCTATTTATAAAGAATTTAACTTGGAAAGTTTTTATGTAATTTTTATTATTCCTTAGGTACACTTTGGATAAAAATAATACCAAACAGAAATGTTTTAAAATTAAACAAGATGTTCATTAAAAAATTTTAAAAAATTTGGAATTAGAAAAATAAAGCTCATTTAAGTAATTCCAAATGTCTACAGTTTTAGATTCTGAGTGGAGAAATGTGTTGCTTTTAGTATATTTAATTGTTTTACTGTGTACAAAAATTCTTCAGGAAATCTTGCTCATTTTGACTATTAGGTATGACATGTAATGAACCTCCTACCAAATTTTCAAGAATTTTTATCAAGTTTCATCTACAAAGTATCTTAAATAAAAAGTAATCAAAAAAGCAAAAAAACTTCCAAAATTTAAATGTCTATAAATAGCTCACAATGGCTTATGTTCTGGAAGGTTTACCACATCTAGAAAAATTAAATTTAAGTTTTCTGTAAACATTTTAACTGTCTAACAGATATTTTAACATAAATTACAAAAAATTATTAAACAAACTACAAAGAAAATCAGAAACATACCTTCTTGGTCATCAACTAGATTAAAAATGCAACAAAAAAGGTCTCTTGATGTTTTTTTATTAGAGCAAATTCTGGTAAAAAAGTTGTTCACAGACAGAATAAATAAATACAAACACATAGTAAAACCAAAAGATTCCTCACTACATTCCAAATATAAAAAAGTGGTTTTTTACCACCAAACAGAACCTATAATGAACCAGCTGTCAAATTTGTAAGCATTTCTGTTTATTCCAACAATTTTATCTATCCACAGAATACCTACCAAATAAAAATGATTTAAAAGAAACTAAAAAAAAAAATAAACATCATTATAAACCATAACATTATTCTCCACACTCTGAATCTAAAATAAAATAAATATTTGCTTGCTTTATTTTATTGATAATTACATTTTTTTTTATATACAATTTACTTGCAATTTTGTTGATTACTCCCACAATTTTTAAAAATTATTTAATTCATTTTTGAATTAAATAATTATAGTTTTTAATCTAATTAAATTTTTTTTTACTAATTAGAGTTCTTAGTAACAGCATATTAAAATAATATCGATAAATAGATAAAATAAAAATAATTGTTTCTCTTCCATATAATATAACACCTATCAATTTTTTTTGTAGTTAGTAGGTAGGTTCACCAAATGCTAAATTATAATTAGGTTCCTATAATGTTCTTAAACATTTTAATCAATTTTAAGTTAAAAGTATTACTAGTAATTATATTTATATATATTAACTATGTATTAAATGGACCAAAAACTTAAATTTAAAACAGAAGTCAATTTTGAATACTTTATACAAATTCAAAATTAAATAAATATCTTCATTTAGAATTTTCACTTTAACATAATATTATAATACATAGGCATTGTCAGTGGCCGATCCAGGTGGACAATAGTCATTTGCCCCTCCTCCAAACACTGTGGTTAGTATGTTTTTCTTGTATTATGATAAAATATATACTTACCAATTTGCATTGTTATAAATAATTTTAAATCCCCAAAAATTAGGAACTGGATTCCTCTGTTCGCATTGAGAAGTATGTTTTAAACTTATCAAAACTTTAAAACTCTGTGCACAGTGAAAGAATGAATAATAATTATATATTATGATATAACTTAAACAAAATTTCTAATAATAAACAATTTAAAAATACATTTTACATTGTAGATTCTGAATGAAATTACAAAACTAATATTGGTATATGGCGATATACTACGGTATGTAAAATAAAATATTAAAATTGCAAACTATATATTATTTTATTAGATAGGTTTTTTTTTTGTACACTTTTATCTGGGACTATTTAGTAAATGCCAGGGGGAACCACTTTTTGTATTACAACCAAGAGAAAAATATATAAAATATTTTAGTGGTGGTATAGTTTTTCAGATTTTTTTTAACACAATTTTACTATAAGTTAGTGGGAGCAAGTATAATTCTTTTTTGTGGGAGGAGGAAGTTTATGAATTTAAAATAGTTAAGTATGACTATGGATATACAGATCATTTATAGTTTGTATACGAAATACAATAATAAACCACTGAAAATAAAAAGCCCATTCTCTGTTCAGTAGTAATGTAGTATAATAAAATAATAATATTTTTCCTTCGTTGTTATAGTAACCTAGATATCAATAAAAATTGGAATAATATAAAAAGGCGTAGAAGATGAACTGCTGAAAATGTCGATAAAGTATTTAGGTACAAATAAAAAAGATCTGATACTGTGGACGGGCATACCACTGTAGTAGGTGGTTATAGGAAAGGACCTAGGATACATAAGGTCAATTTAAGTATGTAACCAACGATAAATTATTATTAACAAAAAACAATTCGGATGGCAGTTTGATTGGTACATGTTTTGAGAGGCCGTAATATTGACGATTTTCGTCGAAATTTGATATGGAAACTTTTAAATAAAAAAAATACAACAGAAAACTCAATTTTTTTTTTACCTTCAAGCTTTTTTTTCAATTTTTCTCAATTATTAAAAAAATACAAGGAGAAACAAAAACCAATAATCTTACTTACAAACACAAATTAAAAATGCAACAGAAAAGGTCTCTTGTTGCTTTTTTATTGAAACAATAATACTGATAGAAAACATAAAGCGTACAAATTTAAAATAAAGCCATACATTTATAAGTTTTCATTTTTTGTCCTTTTCCGGGTTTCCTAACTAATATTAAAACTACTTGGAGATTCAAAAAATTACCTCCTTAAAGTTTCAAATACATAACATTTCTTACAGGAAAGGTGCCACACTTGATACATGGGAGCAAGATTTCTGATAGGAATTATACACAGTATATAAATACATATAAAAATAAAAAAATACTCATTTTTGTAAAACTAAAACATTCCTCGCTACGCACTGAATCTAAAATTAAAAACCAATGGAATCGGTATCATCGTTCTGTGTCGTAAATATTTTTCGGTTTTCGACAAATTAAATACCTATGTACATATTTTGATGGTATTAGATATTTTTAAATTCGGAACCTAGCAAAAAATCTATTAGTATTACTATAGTGTGTTGTGTTTCCCAGCAGTTTTCATAAAAATTAGAAAAACGTAGGAAAACCGGGACAATTTATGAAATGTATTATTTTCAATTTTGGTTTTTTGTTATAATTCTGTTAAAAATATTTATTTGATAAGACTTGAAATTTTTATAGAAAATTAAAAATTTAAATTTGCTTTTTCTAGATATCGCAAAATTTTAAAAACATTTCAAGCTATTTATAACGTTTAATTTTTTGAGTTTTTTTACATAATTTTTATTTGGCTCTAAAATTATTAGACTAAAAAACACAAATATTTGAAAATTCAACAAGAGGTTTATTATAAGTCGTAATTTGTGATTGAAAAAAAAATTGAGTTTAATGTATTAAGTATTTTTTTTTTTTTTAGAAGGAATTTTAGATACTGAGTGAAGCGAGGAACGCTTTGGTATTACAGTGATGTTTATTTAATTTTTTTTTCTCTGTGAGAAAACCTTTCTACCAATAATTTTGCTCTGATTTTCAATTATAGCACTTTTTCTGAAAGGAAATCTGACTGAGGTGGTACCTGCTTCAGGGAGGTCAATTTTTTAATTGTCCACCTGTTTTCATAATATATGGAGAAAAACGAAGGAAATACGGGAAAATAAGTACAATATTAAACAAATAATACTAAAGAAAATAATAAATAATGCATAATATGTAATTATTTTACCATAATATAACACATTTATTGTTGACAAAACAACATTCTTAATCGAACTCCACTCAGAATCATTTTTCGTTAGCAATGGTTAATCGTTGCGTACAGATATACATTAAGTTTTCTAACTTCTCGCCTACAATAGTGGCTCACCCACACGCAAATTATGTCCGTCTATTTTTAATATCAAGTTTTAACGAAAATTATAAATTGTATGGCCACTAAAACCACGTTGAACCGAATTTTGCTGAGAATAGTTTTTTGTTAGCAATAGTTTATCGATTCTTACAGATATAAATTAAATAACTATGTTTTCTACCTTCCCAACTTCCTATCCACAACAGTGGCACAGTCGTTCCCAGTATTAGCTTTTTTTTGCTTAGCATTGTTATGCTGTTATAATATTCGCTGATCATAATATGTAAAGAACAATCTACAAAATTGGAAAGTGCACAAGAAGAAGCAAAAAAATAATCTTCTGTATACTTGGATATAAGATATTTAGACTTTTTTTTTTATTATATAGGTGAACATGCAATTTTTCTTCGTTTATATTCTAAAATAAAATCGTTTTATCTAAATATAACTACGACTCTTGAGTATAGGTAACTAATGGTAACTGATTTAGGGTAATG